CATCTTTGTGTTCCATTTCATTTTTGACAGCTTCTCATTTTTCTAGATTCATACTTCACACATTCCATTTTTATTACTAATGGATATTTATAGCTGTTTTGTCTCAATTCGAATTGTGCCCCATCAAGCAAATGAAAGTCCTGAAAACTTTCCTCCATTCACATCATTATGTTCAAATCTATGTTGAGGAGGCAGCTCTTCCTCAGTTGGATTTTGAGCACCTTCCAACCTGAGGGGTTCATCTTCCGACACTGTATATGACAATGTACTGTTGCTATTCATAATGTTTTCTTCATCTGGCACCTATTCAGAAGGGATTTCAGTGGCTAACCATTCAGAAGTAGTCTGCCTTTCCTTCTTCCTAGTCTATCTTCGTCTGGAAGCTCCACTGAAACCTGTCCACCATGGGTGACCCTGCTGGTATTTCAAATACTAGTGGTATAGTTTCTAGCATCATAGCAACATGTAATCCACCACAGCACAATAAACTGAGAGATGAGTGGTGGAGTGAAAGATGTATGTGTATATATATATTATTGGCCCAGGATGTTGTGCACAGGGTCACTATGAGTCAGTACCGACTCGATGGCACCTAACAACAACAACATCTCTATCTATCTATCTATCTATCTATCTATCTATCTATCTATCTATCTATCTAGATGTTGTTGTTGTTGTTGCTGTTGAGTGCTGTCGAGTTGGTTCCAACCCATAGCAACCCTGTATAGGGTTTCCAAGGAGCAGCTGGTGAGCTTGAGCTGCCGACCTTGCAGCTCAAACGGCTTTGCAGTCTGGTGCATTAACCCACAGCACCACACCAGGACTCCATGTATATATATATATGTGTGTGTGTGTGTGTGTGTGTGTGTGTGTGTGTGTATGTGTATATGTGTGTGTGTATATATATGTGTGTGTGAGTGTATGTGTATATATATATATGTATATATATATACATATATAAACTCACTGCTAACAATCAATTCCAACTCATAGCGACCCTGTATAATGTTTCTGGGGCTGCAAATCTTTACAGGAGCAGAAAGCCTCATCCTTTTCTTGAGGAGTGGCTGATGGGTTGGAATTCCTGACCTTGGAGCTGGCAGTCTTGTGCTTATCTTATGACATCACCAGGGCTCATAGATATTTAGTTTAAGAAAAAGGTCTGCATAGTTGTGGAGGCTGGCAAGACCCAAATTCGTGGCATCAGGCTGTAGGCTTCTCCTGACTCATGTGGTTGCAGGGGCTGATGAGTCGTAGATAGACAGGCCTTAAGCATTCTGCTGGCTCACAGGGCTGTGGGAACCCCAATATTTGCAGGTCAGGTGATAGGTTGTTGGCTCATGTATCAAGAACAAGAGGTCAGGTGATGATGAGTAGGATCCAGAGAGTGAAAGAACCTTGGTAGAACATCCATTCGTATACTAGAGGCCGCCTGTACCCCCAAGGAAACCCCCCTTTCAGCTAATTGACTGCTCACATCAGATCTCATACAATAGTGATTATATTACCTATGGAAGTGCAGTCAGTCCAATGTCTGCTAAACCACGGAGACTCATAGCCCAGCATGGTTGACATATACCATAAACCATCACAAGTGATGAAGGGGCTTGCAGGGACTGTGAATATAGGAAGTCAGCCCTGTAATGTCCATGTGGGGTAAGACTTGGGTGTGCCTTACTTGTGGGGAAAGGAGAACGGATTCTGTACGAAGTCAGGCGGTAAGCTATGCTCTTAGAAGATGCTGAAATAACTCATTGGTGAACAGATACGAGTGTAGGACTGGAGATGTGCCATCTACCTGTGGCCCAGAGCAGAAAGGGTAACTCCTAGGTGGGAACAGAAACTTGTGGTGTACTGCACTTGGGCCAGCCTCTGAGGCTGCGCTACCTATGTGCTCCTGGATTAAGAGCAGGCCAGGTTGATGTTTCTCTTTGCATATTCTTTATAAAAGACATTCTGAGCAAATTAAGCATATAAACAAGAGAGCAGGGTCACATGCAATAGTCTGAAGAGGTCAAGTAGCAGTGCTTCCTTATCCATTCATTAAGGCATATTCTTAGCTCCTCTAACTGGGAACATTTTACAGATGCTCACAGAACTCAAGAGGAATGAAACTGTGTTTCATAGAATCAGAGTTCAAGGGAGAAAAGGATCGTTAGAAGTAGCCTTATTTTCCCCCCTCGTTTTACAGAGGAGGAATTTGAGGTCCAGAGATTTTCTTGCGATCACATAGCTGGTCATTGTGGAGCCTGGCCCCTGAGCTTCATCCTGGCTTTGTTTCAGAAACCTCAGTTTGTTTATTTATAAAATGGGCATAACTTTCTAACGCCATGCAGTTGTTAGAGGTTGTAAAATACAACACACTCCTCCTTCATAGTGGATAGTTGTTTCTCTTCTGAGGTATGGTTTTTATTTATTTATTTAGTTTTGTATTTGGACAGTGTACTCCTCATCTAGCCTCACCAGGTTTGGATTCCAGCTTCACCCTTACTGTCTGTGTGACTGTGGGCCAGTTCCTTGCTCCGGACATCCATTTCCACATTAGTAAGACAGGGCTGTAGTGCTATAGGATAAGTGTTGGACCGCTAACCACAGTTTTGGTGGTTCAAGCCCACCACCTGCTCAATGGAAACCCTGTACAAGGTTGCAATGCAGTGGAACTGACTTGACAGCACGTAAGAACAACTATAATAGTAGGAGGCACAAGTGGTTTGCAATAGACTGATAAGCTGAAGGTTAGCAGTATGAGCCTCCTAGCATCACCAAGGACCTGCTGATCCACTTCTGTAAAGATTAGAAGAAAATCCTATGCAGTAGTTCTACTCTGACACATGAGGTCACCATGAATAAGAACTGACTTGATGTCAATGCTTATTTATTTATTTATTTAGTTTTCATTGGATTACAAACCAAACTAAAACTCACTGCCATGGAGTTGGTTCTGACTCATAGTGACTCTTTATAGGGTTTCGGAGACTGTAAATCTCCACAGGAGGAGACAGCCTCATTTTGCTCTCACAGAATAATTGATGGACTTGAATGCTGATCTTGTGGTTAGCAGCCCAAAGCGCTACTGGCTATCCTTTCATTGGATCCCATTGAGGATTAAATGATATAAAGCACTTAAAGCCTTTAGAACAGGAGTGGGGAACGTCCAGTCATTTGGTCTGGCCCTGCCAAAGCAACCACAGTTCCAGCCATCATATTGTTGTTGTTGTGAAGTGCTGTTGAGTCGGTTCCGACCCATAACGACCCTGTATAGTGTTTCCGAGGAGCAGTTGGTGAGCTTGAACTGCCAACCTTGCAGTTCAAATGGCTTTGCAGTCTGGTGCATTAACCCACAGTGCCACACCAGGACTCCAGCCATCACATTAGGGGTGAGTTAAATGTTTGACCAAACATAGCCGGCTAATTTTTAAGTTGATAATTTTGTATGGCCGGCGAATGATGTTATAAATTTTGGTAGTAAAAAGGTTCTCCACCTCTGCTCTAGAAAAATGCCTGACACCTAGAAAACCCCAGTAGCTGTTGTTAGGTGCTATCAAGTCAGTTCTTCCAACTCCCAGAGACCTTATGCACAACAGAAGAAAACACTGCCCAGTTCTGTGCCGTTCTCACAGTTGTTGTCATGTTTGAGCCTGCTGTTGCTACCACTGTGTCAATTCATCTGGATGACAGTCTTCCTCTTTTCTTGCTGACCACCTTACTAAGCATGTTGTCTTTCTCTAGGGACTGGTCCCCCCTGACCACATGTCCAAAGTATGAGAGATAGAGTCTCTCTATCCTCACTTCTAAGGAGCATTCTGACTGTACTTATTCCAAGACAATTTTTTTTTTCCCTTCTGGTAGTCCATGGTATTTTCAGTATTCTCCATCAGCAGCATAATTCAAATGCATAGCTTCTTCTATGGTCTTCCTGTATCAATGTCCAACTGTCACATGCATATGAGGTGACTGAAAATACCAGACTTTGTTCAGGCGCACCTTAGTCCTCAAACTGACATCTTTAATGTTACTTAGATGTGGCACTGTGGGTTAGTGCTTTGAACTGCAATATCAGTTTGAACCACAAGGTTGGTGGTTCAAACTCACTAGCCACTCCTCAGAAATCCTATATAGATAGGGTCGCTGTGGGTTGGACATGCCTTGACAGCACTTAAAAACAATAACAAATAAATATTAGCTGCCATTATTAAAGAAGCTCTGGTAGCATAGTGGTTACGAATCGGGCTGTGAACCTTAAGGTCAGCGGTTCAAAACTACCAGCTGCTCCACGGGAGAAAGTTGAGGCTTTCTACTCCCGTAAAGATTTACACCCTTGGAAACCCTGTACAGGGTCGCAATGGGTCGGAACCGACTCGAAGGCACTTAACAACAACAACAACAATTATTAATACTATCACTATAATTTGACAACATATCATATTTTCCTTTTTGTTTTGCGAACCGGTGAATGCGTCACTGAGTTTGAACCTTGCCTTCAGAAACGTAATGGCATACATTCCTGTTTCTTGGATATTCTCTGGCTTTACTTATTCTTGAGTAATATGTACGCTGTAATTTTGGGGCAATGAATTAAGAAAATGAAGAAACAGGTTGATGTAGACTGGCCTGGGGTAGTCCACGATGTCCTTGAACTGTGTGGTAAACTGCGTTATTAAATAAATTTATAGGGCTTATTAAATATTAGCCTTAGATGCACAGGCTTTCCACACATTATCTTAAACCCTCACAACCATTTATAAGGTAAGGCCATTTTGCATTTCAGGAAACTGAGATTCAGAGACGTGAAGAGATTCAGCCAGTGGTTGTTAGCAGAACCAGGACAAATGTGGCCTCATCATGTACTCTTACTCCCTGTTCAATGTTCTAGATAGCTCTTGAGCTATTGGGGACCAAGGAGGGATGGAGAGGTGGTTTCATTCAACTGTCTGATGGTCTCTCTCCTTGTTCTTCTCCTCCATTCCCCTTCCTTTTCCTCTGCTTCCTGGATTCCCCAGAACCCATGAGGGCCCCCAAAGGCCTAGCCTTCGCTGAGATCCAGGCCCGCCAGCTGACCCTGCAGTGGGAACCACTAGGCTACAATGTGACCCGTTGTCATACCTACACGGTGTCCCTGTGTTATCATTACACTCTGGGCAGCAGCCACAACCAGACCTTCCGGGAGTGTGTGAAGATGGAGCGGGGTGCTAGTCGCTACACCATCAAGAACCTGCTGCCATACCGGAATGTTCAGGTGCGGCTCGTGCTCACGAACCCCGAGGGGCGCAAGGAGGGCAAGGAGGTCACCTTCCAGACGGACGAAGATGGTAAGAGTCTCAAGCCCCACTCCCAGGGGGACAAATGCTTACCACAGTCACCCTATGTCTGCAACTGAAATTTATAGAATATATTGTTTTGCTTAAGATTACAGTAACTGTCTAATAACAAAGCAATGATAGTATTTATTATCTAGAAGTCAGGTCAGATTGGTAGAATTTCTCTCTTTAATGTTTGGAGGAATTCACAGTGAAACCAATTGGGCCTGAAGTGGAAAGGTTTTTAATAACAGTTTCAACTTTTAAATTAGATGCAAGCATACAGTTTTCATTTTTAAAATAGACATAGAAAAGAAAGTAAAATAATATATATATATATATATATATATATATACACACATAGGAATATATATGATAGACTAGGAATATTTAAAAAGTAGATATGGTAATACAGAGAATTGTCTAGGGATATTATAAAAATAGATATAAGAATATAGATGTAGGAATATTCCCTTTTTTGTTTATTTATGATTTGAGAGAATTCATTTTCCATTCAGTAATGTTTACACCTTTTGTTTTGTGACATTAGTTGTAATCCCCTCTGGTAGCAGCACTATTCGCATTTCTTTTCTGGTCTCCCATTTCCATTGGTCCCTCTCTCCTGCCCCTTCTTGCCTTCCAGATTTCGTTCTTGGGCCAGTGTTATCCTTTTGGTCTTTTGTGGTTGGTTAATTTGAGGAGTATGTTCCTCGCTCATGGTTGTTATTGTGCGCTTTATAAGCCTGTCTGTTGCTTGGCTGAAGAGTTTCTGGGAGAGGAATATTCAGTTTTGGTTGTTTGTGAAGTGTGGAATCAATTCTGACTCAAAGCTATCCTGAATAGAGTTTTCAAGGAGCAATTACTGGGTTTGAACCACTGACCTGTGTTTAACAGTCCAGTGCTTATCCTATAGCATCACACCCGGATTCCGTTTTTGAGTTCTGTGTTTTTAAAGAAATTTGTTCATTTCATCTAAATTGTCAAATTTCTTGGCCTATAGTAGTTTATAGTATTATCTTATTATGCTTCTTTAATGCCTGTGGGATCTATAGTATTTTCCCATCTTTTCATTCCTGGTATTGGTAATTTGGAGCTTCTCTTAGTGACTCTTGGTAGGTGTTTATCCATTTTATTAATCTTTCCAATGAGCCAACTTTTGGTTTGTTGGTTTTCTTTATTGCATTTTAATTTTCTACTTTGTTTTTTCCTTTTAAATACTTTCTTTGGGTTTGATTTGCCGTTCTTTTCTTGCTTTTGAAATAGAAGATTAGATAATTGGTTTTGAGATTTCTTCATTATAGTATATATGCATTTTAGGCTACAAATTTCCCTTCAAGTTATGCTTTAGCTGAATCCTATGAGGTTTTAAAATTTAATAATTTTTTTAAAATTGTGAATTGAGTGAAAGTTTACTTGGCAAATCATTAGTTTTACACTCAACAAATCATATTTGGTTTCATTGCAATGATTACAATCTCCTCCATGTACTGTCATTTACAAGTATTCACCTATTCCCGAACGTTTTCTTTTTTTTAAAGGTTTTATTTTGATTTGAGTGATAATTTACATGGGAGAACATCTGTTTTCCACTCATCGTTTCATTGCAATGATTACAGTCCCCTCCATGCATCATCATTCAACAGTATTTGCTTCTATTCCTTCTGTTTTTTTTTTTTTTTTTTAGATATCCGTGTTCACGAGCAGGTTTCAGA